AATCAGATATATCAAATGCACCTGATTGGTTAATCAGATATATCAAATGCATCTGATTGGTTAATCAGATATATCAAATGCATCTGATTGGTTAATCAGATATATCAAATGCATCTGATTGGTTAATCAGATATATCAAATGCATCTGATTGGTTAATAGTCCATTAATTAATGGTAGTGGTATATGGTAATGAACTCAAATCTGAACTTTTGTAGGTTTAATTAAATTGCCTGAAAATATATAAATTCTTACATTTCAAGTGAAGGCCAGCCAGACTCACTCACTCAAAACGTTAAATTTTTCCATGTAGTTCATGTTAAATTGTTCAGTAGTTCATCTAAAACCTTTTTCTACACATGTTCAAAACGTATTTCGTATTTAAACAACACTTAAGCGTAACTAGAAACCAAAAACTAAAAAGATATAGCAGATTAAAAACAAGTATATTTTGCCGATTCTCAGCCTCATCAGTTTGACACAATATTCCTTGCTTCGGCGTACAGATCGTTAGGAAAAGTTTCATGTAATAAATATTCGTATATTTGATATTTTAGATGACTCAATGTCAGATTTGCATCAAAGTTTTGCTGATTTAGTTGAAGATAATCCTGAAAAGTTAAAAGAATTTGTTCCTGCTTGCGGTGAGTATAGTTCTTGCTTGGCAGTTCTTCAAATATTTTTTGCTTAAAGACGGCAAATATTACGTTAATAAAGACATGAAGATATATCGATTGTTTAGGAGATGAGGAGAAAGGATGGAAGATAGAAGAAGGACATACTTCAGAGATTATTGGAGTTGTTTTTGGTATCATTATTTTGATTGTTTTCATCATTTGTATGATTCTGTGGCTGAGGAAACGACGTCAAGAACATGAAGACTCGTAAGTAGTCTGAGAATTTTGTGTGGTTCTAGTTTGTATTGTGCTGACATTTTGCGAAAGAAACAACAAGGAATGCTTGCAGATATAGAAGAGACCACAAGATGACATTTTGGTGACGAGAAACAGGTTAAAAGGAACAAAAATGAGAGGATTGGAACAAAGACTTGCGGAATAGATAGTAAGAAAATTTCTGCCATTGTTGGGTCAAGTTTAAAAGCGTTTTATTCTTTTACTGTAGTTCTAAACTTGTGGAAGGTGTTGAATCAGCTGCCACCAATGAAACCGCCGCTGAAAAGTAAGAAATGTTCCGCCCTCTTATATTATCATGAGAACTAAGTAAAGACAAGAGGTCATCTTTTCTTGCAAAGGACATAGCTCAACATACAATAACATACAACCCATGTCCAGATCAATGAAGCACAACTAAGGTGGAAGGGTTAGTTTTTGTTGATGAAGGAAAAGTGGAAAACTGTTGGAGAATAACAGGAGAGAACCACAAGTCTAGGTTACTGTACATGCATTTTCAAATGCATCAAGTCAGAGCGTGGTAATCACTCATCCTAAGACTCCGTTTACAAACACACGAGAACCACAGAACAGGACGAATTTGAGACCCCCTAACAGGATGAATTCACATGTAAACAGGCGAAAATGGACGATTTTCAGACTGGTCCCAAATTCGTCTGGTACTGTGTAAACGGGGTCTAAATGAAACCTTGCCCTACAGTAGCAGGCTTAACTCATTCATACAGTACTTAAAGGGTGCTACTACTGTACCACCTGTGTTTCTCAATGTTAGCTGATTTATCACCGTCGATGGTCTGTCTCGATTACTAAGAATTATATTCAATTCTCATTGCAGTAATGACAACCCACCAAGTGATCCTAAGCAGAATTGCTTCAAAGTAACAACTTCTTTGTAAAATAATCTTTACTCTACTGTCCACTGGCAAGGTAGGATCACAGCATGTAACATGAAGTAATCAACTCTAATATGGCGACACAATATGGCAAAATCACGAAAATAGCGAGCTTTGAGCATGGCTTGAGCAAGTGATGTTTTTCTCAACATGGATCATTGAACTGAATAAAACTACTTTCATTGACATGGACGTCAGATTGCTGGGGGGGGGGGATTAACTGTGTTTGTATCAGTTTGTAGTAATCTTCAAAACATAAGTTTTTTAAAGTTTTTTTTCTTCCTTCGCCAAAATTACTTCCACCAATTTTTGCATGACGTCCTTGTAACCTTGTTGACAAGAACGTTTCTTGCTTTAAAGCTCACTAATGCAAAAATAAATTTTAAAAATTTTAAAATGAACGGGTTATCAACAGTATTTAATCTTGTATATATATTTTAGTAGGCCCGTAGTAGGGGTATGATTATTTTATCCTTGTGAATTAAAATAAGTATTATCTAGCAGAAATTATCACGCATGAATTGTTAACTATTGAAGTTTGGGCAAAACATAGGATTGTATAGCCAAAATAGAAAATTCTTTTTTTGTATACATGTGACATTCGAGGACAGCGAAAAATAATGTAATTTGTATACATACGTAACTTTTGTAAACCTTTTAAAAATGTTTTATGTTTTTAAATATAAGTTATAAATAGAAATTGAAATCTGCTTGACTGGCTCCAAGATAGATTAGAAATTGCTCACTACAAACCACACATTGCGATGTTTTGATAAGATTGCAGAATGACAAATATTTTCATATGCATGGTGATGTCGTATCGTGTTTATTTATTTGGCAAATAGCACGGGTGTTCATGTGTAGTTATCAGTACAACGTATATCAATATGCCAGACACTATAATACAAAGCTAATTAACATAGCGAGCGCGTAATTACATTCACCCCTAGGGAAACGTGGCGTGAGCGTCTGCGCGTATTGACAAACACAAACTTCACGCTGTTGTATAGCAGTCGTGGCGTTCATTTTGATGTTGATTTAAGTACCTAGTGAATGATATGGGCGGTTTAGAATTCAATTTAATACGTTCATATATCAACACTCTTAGCTGTGTGCATTTGATAGTAGGGATGGGGTGTACTTTGTTATGTAAAGTTAAAAGTTTATGCATTTTATGTTTTGAAATAATGAATGCAAAGTTAGTAATGGTATGTCTTTCTGGTTTTGACCCTCATTGTGGTGGTTGGGGATTAAAATGAAAGATCTAGTAACTAGATTCTAGTTCGCCTTAAGCGTTAGGAAGGCTCATCACCACGTGAATGAGTGGATCAATCTGTCAATTAATAAATCAATCTATATTTGTAGAATAAGGTCGTGATGAGGTCAAGAACAAAGAAACATATATTTGTGTCTAATATTGTCTGTTAATATCGTTATATTCCACGCACGAATATAAGAATATTTCTTCCATTCTTGAGTCTCTTGACTCCAAAATCACAACCCTAACGGCCTTGTGACCGTAACATAACGATTCTAATGCTGTATACTCCAATGCTGGGTATCAGTGTATACCCCAATGCTGGGTTTGCCCTTCTCATAATTCCAGTAAAGATTTAAGCAATTATGAATAACAAGATAATGAAGCTACATTGTACTTCCTCTCATGACCTGTGTCATGGTCCCAGCTCACGCACGTCATTCACATAAACCATGTCTGGAATTTAATTATTTACTTATCTCCATATACCTGCGGTCAAACATGAGTCTCAATGACACTGCGCGTGTCAAGCAGCATGTAATTTTGTCGTCATTAGGATAAAAAAAACTAATTGTAAAAGTGTTTATAAAACAGTTCATCGCTCTAGCTTGGAATTTAGCTTGATTCACAAACATTCCATGTTGGTGCGTTTCAGGGCATTACAGGACAGCAGATGGTAGTCAGAAATGTTGACATTATTCTTTGCATTATTCATAACGTCACTACGTCGCCATCTTGGTTGATTTTAAAGTTTTGTCCAGCCGTTTACATCGAAATAGTTGAGTTACTTTAATATTTTTGGTTTGTTTTGAAAACATCTTACTGTATTATGGATAGTTCACGATTTCTGGCACAATACGACGAAGAAAGAAGAATATAGATTTTTAGATGTTTTGAAAATCAACCAAGATGGCGTCGATTGCAAACGAGCAATAGAAGCAAAAAATTAAACTAGATTTCTCCAGTCAGCTTCTGTTTGGGAGAGATATGAAAAATATAAGCACAACAGGAATATAGTTGTCTCGATCTGCAGTTGTCTTAAGTCTAGATGTATTTTCTACCAAATACAAAAGTACGTTTAATGAATCAACATTTCACCATTCTGATACCTGCAAGTTGACCAAGGGCTGCATGAGAGTGCTTAGTGAAACAGTGTGTATAGCCTTCCACAACACAACGACCCTATGTACTCATAACAAGGCGACATGATTATAATCCTCAGCGATATGTTGGTATGCACATAAGTGCAAGTACGATATTTTCAGGAAAATACTTTCATTCACAGAGATTACGTGCACTTAGTCAGGATTATTGGAACTGATCCACGTCATTGTGGCAGAATTTGGCAGTTTGGAATGCCGCATTAACCAGAGACACCGGAAAGCTTAACTGGCGTAAGGGCAGAGGCTTGCTGACCAGAGCAGGTGTTCTTTAATAATTCCGCCCATTTTCCCATGATCTGCTGGAAACTAATATTACGTAACTACATCAAAATAGTTTTGCTATTATTGATAATTTGTGCAAGTATCCTAGCTATGCATGCACGTAATTTTGTATGCAGGGTCCGGTTGTATCAAGTCCGTTTAGCTTAAACAGTGGTTAAGCTCAAAATAGAAAGCAAGTCTATAGATTCATTCAACAACTAAACTAAAAGTTTTGAACTTTAATAGAACGATAATGTTTACAACTACATATTAAATGCAGAATATTTAAGTTGACTGATTCACGAGAGAGAAAAGAGTGTTTGTAATTTTGACTTATCCACTGTTTAAGCTAAACGGGCTTGATACAACCGGCCCCAGGAGACTAGCTATACATACACGTCATTTTGAAGTAGTTCAGTGCAAATTTTCTTTGGGGCCTCTTGGTCACTCAGGGTAAGATTAGGGCCCAGGCCAATGCCCCCTCACCCAATTCATAATATGCCTTATAAGCAGCCTAGTCCCAGTCGTTCTGAAGCAAGCGCGAGAAAAAAGTGGATGTAGTACGAGACTGGGACCTAGGTGTGACGTCACCGCTCAAGGTGCTTCACGTTCCGCACAGCACACCCAGGCATAAAACTTTTAAGACTTATTTAAATATATCAAAGCAGCGAATAGAGAGAGAGCCTGGGACTAGGCTGCCTTGTAAGTACTATTTTAGACTGTCCTTCAAAGACTGTTGTAAACATGCACTGATGCAGATGATGTCAAGGAGTTGTAAACATACCCTAGCTCTTAGGAAAAGTACTTCTAAATTGGGCGGCTATTCCAGACTGTTTTACAGCCACAAAGACGGACATTAAGTACACGTAATTTGGAAGAAGTTATAAATATAGCGAGTTTTCGGCTTTCAAGGTCCAGTTCACAGTGTCTGTTGTTTCGTTGATTCTTGTCAGAAAACAGGTGTAGAAAATGCCTGCCCGAAAAAAGTACGCGATAGTTTTTTTGAAAAGTGACAACTTTATTTTAACAAGGGAAACACATGTCAGACTGAAAAACTTGTGAGACTTTTAGGATTGTTAGATTTAAGATATTTTTCATTTTATTTGCAAAAGTGTAGGAGTGTTTAATTTGAGTTACATCCTTCCCCTGAACACTGTCGGTCTGCAGTATAATCCCCATATAAATACACTGTAAACTAAAGTCTTAAGCCTGTACTTGGGATATACAGGCAGATATTATTTAAAATTGAAAACAATTATACCGCCTTGTTTTGTATTAAGTCCTAATTACTTTCCGTTTCCCAAGAACTCGTTTTCCTATCCAGCTTTATGACATCGTAGCCCTTCAGATTGGCGTCATTACTCAACTTCAATATGTAATTTATACTGGCACACTTTATGAGGCGCAAATTTCACCGCGGGGTGAAATTAAAGTGGTATTTTAGGATGTTTTTCAAGTAGTTCCTGGCTCTAGGCGTCCTTTGTAATATTTATAAGCCATTAACGGCTTTCATCTCGCATGCAGGTAGTAATTAAGCGATAATATATTCCGAAAAAGTGTCTTCAACGCTTTTCACTCGAATAACGGTTTTGAAATACAGGTTCTTGTCTCATTTGCAGTAGTCTAAATTCACAATAAATATCAGTAAACAGTTTCGTCTGTGAGGATTTGGTATTTAAAGATAATTGACAGTATGTCTGAAGCATATAGCTGGACGAAGCTTAATTTTTTTCTATACAGATCGAAATTAAAATGATGTCTTTTCAGGATGGGTTCATTCGCCGTGGCATTATTCAGGGAAGGTATTTAAGAGTGTTTCTGAGTATTTTATAGAGACATTAAAATCAGTTTAAAATCTATTCAATAGCATCTTTATTGCTTTAGACTAAACCCAAGTACTTTCAATTGAGAACTACGATAATTCAAATTTAAAATCTAAACAAATGTATCGTTTTACTCTACCAGCGGTTTTTATTCTTTTATTTTGAGGTATAAATGTGAAAGTTATTCATTGCTAATGACAGCGCGCTCTCAAACGACAGCCAGCCAGTAAACATGTGACGTCAGCCGCCCTCGCATTCATGTCATCTGAGTTCGGTTCACATTGTATTATACTGAGTGGATTATGTTTATTGAGTTTTATTAAAATGTCAAAACCGATAAGAAGTAATGAGATGTTAGGAAGATGCATCTCAGCGTTTTATGCGTGGAGTGAATTCAGGAAAAGGTTATTTTACATGTAAAATGCTAAAATTGTAACGACATTTTGTTTAGTTTTTCTACCGTATTTGGGAAGGCAAAACATGTTAATTTATCGTGCTTTATATCTGCGGATGCGTTTCACTATAGCGGACAGCTTTCCGTAGCGGCGCGAAAAAGCACCTATCCCTTAGTCTTTACGGAATGTACAAGTTTCAGAAGCTGAGCGAAACAACATCTCTCCGTTACAATAATTCCTCTATCCCGTACATGGTAAACGTGACCTTAAATAGCATGCAGGGTTACTTGGATTGCCGCATTGGTACGTCACATCTTTCTAAACACTGATGAAGGAAGTGAGCATGCACACAAATAAACCGTGCTAGAGCCTAGAGTGAAGCAAATGATTGTTCAAGATAGATAAATAGATTGTTGCTCTAACAGACTGGTGGGAAAAATAAGTTCGGTCTGGAACACCAGCTTTATTTCATGACTTCGCTACATCTGCTTTCATCATGTTTTGGCAATACGTTCATGATGTTGTTACTGTCGCTGTTTTTGTTCACCAAAACATATGGTTGTTTTCAGGTCAAGTAATTAGCTTTTCAACGCAAATGCTCCGACATACTGCACATACTTCAGTAAATACCATTTGTATAGACGTTTTTAATATACGCAACATATTACTACACATACAGCATATGGTAGATATCAGGCCTTCATTTGTGACATAGGGTACTAATTGCGACAGTATATGGAAAGGATTTAAATTTTGTTGAACATTTCTTCCAAAACATCATTTGAGTTCCACATACCTGTTTAAAGAGCGCTGCGGTTTTGTAATGTCTATACCTTGTTGCTAGGTGACGATAAACATTGGCGGACTTTAAAATTCCTCCTGGAGCTACTGACCGAACCTGACCTCCGAAATGAAACCGACCAATCAGAGGACAGAACAGCGTCCTCGCCACGCATCGGAGCGGTCTCGTTGCCAACACTGTAGCCAATCAGACGTGAGAGTTTTGTTTATACCCAACACAGGTTGGGGTTTTATATATAGTTTTATATTCAGAAAGCTCTGCCAACCATTCTTGAACACACGAAAGCGAGTCCCGTACGAGAACCAGCTGCCGACGCAAAATTTGGCAATTAATACTCTTGTCAAGTCACATTTATTCGTTGAATATATTCATTTACACCACGAAAACAGCAATCGCGCAACGCTTTTTAAACGAGAGATTTGAAACTTGAGAATTGGGCTCGCAGGACGCAACGAGAGACGTTAGGGCGAAGATTTGAATTTCGCGAGTTCAAATTTGGGACATTCGTCGTTTGAACATTTTGGAATATCAACAGTGTACAGCCGTATTGAGAACTGTCAAGAATGAGTACATGTATATCTTAGAACAAGCGTTGCTTTGATTCAACACCTTGGCAAGATTAGTGCTGGTTTAAATTTTGTCAAGTATAATATTTCTACTGTACTGACATTCGGGTAAACGTGTGTAGTATCGTTAGCGTATTTTATAACATCGTATCGTACAAGTTAGGACTTGTCAACATGAGCAAAGTAAGTGCCGGAAAGACGTCTCACATTGCGGAAAAATTCGCTCAGAACTGGAAAGAACAGAGGCTTAGCAGTGAAACGACAGAAGAGACGCAAGACGAGCTAGATGATTCTCTGACAAACTTACAATGGCTTCATAATATCACAGTCTTAGACATCGCACCTGCTGGCATCGCTTCTTCACCTTCGAGTAGTCCGAGATCGTCTGAGGATGACCTTGCTGAGACTTCGAGTGAGAAATCAGATCCTGAGGTTATAAAGCAAGACAATAAGATTGATTACATGTCAGATCCTAATAGGAAACCTCCCTATTCCTATGCTACGCTCATCTGTATGGCCATGAGAGAAACCAAGAAAACTAAGATCACTTTAAGTGCGATCTATAAATGGATTCGAGAGAATTTCGTCTACTACAGACATGCCGACCCAACTTGGCAGGTATGATATCTTCTATCCTTAATATTAGATTTTATCCTCAATATTTAGTTTTACAGGTAGATTCAAGGTTATATATGCATTAAAGTGTCTAGACATTGACGAGTCTGTATCATTACACCGGAATTGAAGAACTAAATTGGAACAGAATGTTCCATTCTTTTCAAGTGCATTCGTTTCAAATTTCCTACAATTTCCCATCAAAATTTTGTCCATAAATCAGCTATTTAACTACAATATATAAAATCATTTCCGAAGCAATATTTTTAACTATCGAGTTTCATTGGCATTCTTTTGAATCTTTTCCAGGTAATTCGTTGTATTTCGTTCTGCTATTGCAAATATTAATGATTAATGTAAGCGAACATGTACATGTACTTTGAAATTACAGCAGACAGACTACGTAAATATTCGTTAACTATCATAGCTTGAATAGTAATATACATTAATAGAAGAAATTAGGGAACAAGATAAGTCGTTTCGCAAAGGAAGGTCGAGCGCTATCCAATTTAAGGTCCCACGCTAGATTTTATCTCGTATTGCTTGTTTTACGAGTGCACTGCAGACATTTAAATTTATTTATCGAGCTTCGCTGTGTCAATATTAACCTTAAATCGGCCTTGCTATAGCCAGTACAAACAATAATACAAGGCCCCACGTAGAGGAGGTCGCTTGGATAGCCTTTCGAATGACCACGATAGCCAAATATTGACGGGAACTGCAGTCTTAAATGGTTTATCCTTGTAAATCCTAGTGCTGCGGCAACCATGGCGAGGTTTAAGGGGATATAACGATCTTTTCAAACGCAAAAAGCGGTGTTTGTCGTGTTTCTCTTCATTTGTCCAGAATATGTCTGGGGACACATACAGAGAGATTATATCGATAACGCAGTCCTTGTTAATTTGTGAAACGAGGGGGACGCGTGTCTCTGAAGGAATTACGAGGGTCTGAAAAAATTTGGAACTGCTTGCCTTACAGATCCCATCTTGAAACGATATTGTTGTTCTAGCTCATTACGCATTTCATGAATAATAAATTACGGACAGGTTACTGTATTTAAATACAATTATTCCCATCTAGTCTTAAAATGATAAGAAAAGTAATCTTAGTTTTCAATCTGCACAAGTTTTTTACTGAAATCAATACTCACCTTGTGATAAAACACTCTGGTGCTGAAGGCGTGATGTTTGCCCTATTCCTGACGCGTTAGAACAAACTGACAGTTTTGTGTGAAATGTTCGTTTGGAATTTTAAGCCTTACAAGTGATTATTATTTCTGGAATGTTGATGATTTACAAAGAAAAACATAAAATTTTTTGACGATAAAAATGGACGCTGGCGCACGTCTGTTCATAAAAATAAAGTTGTTTAGGATTTCCATCCAATGAAAAATGGCCAAATAGGATACATATGTTTTAGAAATTAGTTTTTTATTCGGCCATATGCAGACTAGGCAGTTTATTGGGCGAAACAAAGACTAAGTCTAAAGCACTGCATATGCGAACTACGTGAGTAAACAAGTTGTGGTTTTAAGTTCTGCCCTTCTAGATAACATCACGATGCTGTATTAGTGAAGCGTTAAGATTTAGTTTTTCACAACTGTTAATAAGCGTGTTGGCATAGTAATTTTGCTTGATAATTTCCCAAGTGTTGATAGATCAAGCCTGCGTATTATCACGAGCGCGCGTCATGATTTTGTCTGAT